ATATTATTTTTATTAAAGGGCATTTAAGGGCAAAATTCAATATATGACTAATCGCAAACATAATTCTACTTATGCTAGTTTATTAAATCGGATGTTTGCCTGGATGGGCTTTTAAAACTTCAGTTGAGTCAGTTGCAAGGATTTTTGAGGCTTTTTGCTAATTTTGAGTGTTTTCTAATCTAAAAACGTTACTTCCAATTTTTCAGTAGGTGGAATTTCCGCCTATCCAAACGCTTCCTTGATTGTGTTAACCAATGGGAGTTGCTCTAGTTTTCTTGGTGCATAGGTTCCATTTGCATTAATCTTTGTCCTTTCCGCTTTAATGTATTGCTTATTGCACACTTTTAACGCACCTATACGGCCACTTGTTTGCTCCACCCTTTAATTTTCCTTTAACCACGAAATGCGTAAGAAACTTGGGTGAGGAAACCTTGGTCATAAGGATGGATAATATTTCTAAAAAGCATGATCATAAATTTAATATTAAATTTTGTATTTGTTTGAAATCATCCGCTATAATTTCAAAGCGCTGACACATCCTTCGGGATCTATTTGCGATTAAGTATAAATCTTTCGTAAATGTCGGCATTTTGCATCAGAGAGGTCGCACACTGTTAGTTTAAAGATTAAAGCTTTGGCGCAGAGTCAGGTGGTAATCACGGGTGTCTGTGCGGGCTTCTCGGTGATGTGGAGATGGTTACGGAAGCTGATAATTATAATGCATATGCGGTCGCGTGGCCCCTGCATAATTCGTGCACTTATCACCCTATTCTAGGGCTATCTTTGATGAAAGATTCTCGACAGAATCCGAAACGTCAGGCAAATACACTCATCCTTCCAGTGATCGTATCTTCAACTTCCGATTAACGGAAAATGTAGAATGCTCCCTTCTCATCTACTACCTTTCAGTAGGCGACTATCGCACAGTCATTGACAGGGAAGATTTCTAAAGGTAACCTCTCCTGCCATTCTGTCACAATGCACACTCTGTCGCCTGCAATCGGGAATATGCCGAGTATAGCTTGAATGTTATTCGCTGGTTTAATTGTAAGATAGAAAACAAGAATTGCACTTTGGTTTGAAACTGCGGATTAGGACCTCAAGGGCTGTTGCGAATAACAGAAAAGTCAACATCCAAGAGGACTTTTTCTGACAAACCCATTGGTTAGCCGCACTTTCATCTTAGACCGACGGCAGCTGACGCACTAATTGGTTTTGAGAACGCAAACGCTAACTAAACAAAAAGCCGGAGAAAATATCAGTGCGTTTCTTCCCCTTATTATTTGTAAAATTTCGAGAAGGGTGAATTACCTGAAGGGCGCTCAGCGGTTCATTGAGAATGACGGGCAGGCGTACCCTTGTCAGTTCACGACCAATGTTACTAAAGAAAAAAAGAGGAGTAACGCGATATACACCCGGGTTTAGACCGTCACGTAAGATGAGCGGAGACGTTGCTTTAAGGAATTCTAAAAAATTGAAGAAAATTGCCGACGAAGACGAGGTAGCCAATACAAGCGAACATGCGAGTCCCAGGAAGAAATTGATAGGAAGACGACAAGAGACATCTGGAGTCTTCTACAAGATCTGGTGCAGTTGCGGGCCAAGCAACTGTATTGGAGAAACTGGTAGACTTCTAACGACACGAATTGTCGAACATGCGGCCGCAGTGCGGCGAAATGATGCGAATTCTCAGGTTGTGGTTAGTTCAACGAGACCCTACCACACATTCATATTTGATGAGGCCGAAATTCTCACAAGGGGTAACAGTCGGATAAACCGATAATTACTTGAGTCAGGATTCACGGGCCCGCGATCCATCAACAAGTGCAATGATTTGCCCAATCCATATTCGGTTCTGAGACTCAATTTGGCCAAAGCAAGTCGCCGCTCGGGGAACAGACATGCCACCGCATCATCCAACGCGAACCCTGCAGGACGAGATGGTCATTGCTGACGTGGTGAATCAGCGCTCACTCTTGTCATCTATCTATTTTTTCTACACGTTTAAATTGTACGGCAAAATCCTGTGCACACACTACCTGTATCTGCTACTGCTCTGCGATTATGTCTCTGATGACGAATCCGCGACGGATCTCGAAGCATCAGGCGGATAAAAGTATTGGCTCAGCGATCGAGTCGTTTTCTTCTCAAAGACGAGGTTGACTGGAATGGCTATTTCTGGTAACTTAGCCGTCAGCAGTCTGTCATAATCAACCCCAGGTGTGGCGCCACAAGAATTCGTGGACTATTGATTATCATTTCAACGATCTAATCCTTGAGCCATGGTATCGTTATCTTTTCGGTTTGGTTCGGATGATATTCATACGGGTGCATAGGTGTGCCTTGTCTTTGCATACCTTAGTATTTATTCAGACTTCGATAGACTGGGAAGTTCCCAATTTCTACAAACAGGCAGTGACATAGCAACTACATGCTTCAAAAATTGCAACACCTGGAAAACTCACCACATCTAGCTGATTCTGTATTTGATGATGGATTTGAGTGGGAATTCAAAAAGACAGGTTGATAACGCACTTGTGCCAACGATCTTGTCCTCTATCTCATGATTGACAATGTACTGCATAATTACCAGTTATGCCTTATGGGGAAAATGCTTGAAGAGCCAGTTAGGGTGGCAATTTTTAAACACTGATCGAGGCGATTGTTCGCATTCTAGATGTAACAATAAGTGATAAAGAAGGTTTTGTTTCACTGGAATCATGGATTTATCAGCCTGAGCTTTAGAACTCTAGCCGGAGTCCATCGCCAGAGATAAAATCGA